GATAGGGACAGTGGGAGATGTAAGAGGGAGGGGATATGGGGATATATGTATACGTATAGCTGATTCACTTTGTTATACAGCAGGAACTAACACAACATTGTAAAGCAATTATACTCCAATAAAGATGTTAAAAAAATTTTTTTTAAATATCAGAATGATACCTAAAAAAGAAGAAAACTACAAGACTTTGCTGAGAGAAATCAAAGAAGACACAATTTTTCTAAAATCCCATGTTCATGGATTGGAAGAACTATACTGTTTAAATATCCATGCTGCTCAAAGCCATCTACAGATTCAACACAATTCTCATCAAAATATCAGTTATTCTTCACCGAAACAGAAGAAACAATCATAAAATTTGTGTGGAACCACAAAAGACCTTGAATAGCCAAAGTAATCCTGAGAAAAAAGAACAAAGCTGGGGGTATCATGCTTCCTGATTTCAAACTATACAACAAAGCCAGAGCAATAAGAACAGCACAAAAATATACATGTAAACAAATGGAACAGAACAGAGAGCCCAGAATTAAATCCTGGCATATACAATCAACCAATATTCAACAAGGAAGCCAAGAGCATTCAATAAGGAAAGGATAGTGTCTTCAACAATTAATGCTGGGGAAACTGGAGAAATACATGCAGAACAGTAAAACTGGATCCCTATCTCACACTACTCATAAAATATTAACTTGAAATGGATCAAAGACGTAAACATAAAACCTGATATCACAAAACTCCTATTAGAAAATATGGGGAAGAAGCTCCTTGATATTGATGTTGGCAACGATTTTGGGGACATGATGCCAAAAGCACAAACAACAAAAGCAAGAATCAACAAATGGGACTACACCAAATTCAAAGCTTCATACAGCAAAAGAAACAACAAAATGAAAAGACAACCTACAGAATGGGAGAAAAAATTTGTAGACCATATATCAGATGAAGGGTTAATATCCAAAATATACAAAGAACTCATACAAGTTAATAACAAATACAAACACCCAATTTAAAAATGAGCAAAAGAACTACATAGATATTTTCCAAAGAGGACATCAAAATGGCCAACAGGCTCATGAAAAGATGCTCAACATTACTAATCATCAGGGAAATGCAAATCAAAACCACAATGAGATACCACCTCACACCTGCTAGAATGGCTAGCATCAAGAAGACAAGAGAGAGCAGGTGCTGGCAAGGATGTGGTGAAAAGGGAGCCCTTATAACACTGTTGATGGGAATGTAAACTGGTCCAACCACTGTGGAAAACAATATGGAAATTCCTCAAAAAATTAAAAATAGATCTAACAATCTAGCAATCCACTTCTGGGTATATGCCCAAAAGAAATGAAAACAGAATTTTGAAGAGATATATGCACTCTCATCTTTACTGAAGTATTATTCACAACAGCCAAGATATGGAAACAACCTAAATGACCATCAGTGGATGAATGGATAAAAAAGATGTGCTATATATACAGTTGAATATTATTCATGTGTGAGAAAGAAGGATATCCTGCCATCTGTGACAACATGGATGGACCTTGAGCACATTATGCTGTGAGAAGTCAGACAAAGAAAGACAAGTACGATATGATATCACTTATACATGGAATCTAAAAGAGCCAAGCTCATAAAAAATAGAGAGTAAAACGCTGGTTATCAGGGGATGGGTAGATAAGACTGATGCTGTTAAGAGAACAAACTTGCAATGATCTAATTCACAGTATTAATGAATATAAACAACAATATTGTACTATAATTATGTAACGTGATAAATATCACAACAGCAATCATGTTACAATATTATGTATCAAAGTAACAAACTATACACAATGTTATATGTCAAATATATTCACTATAAAAAGATCTGACATGAAGACAAGCAAAATAAATTAAAATTAATAAGGTTATTTTAAATATGGACTTGTAACCACCATCATTAGTAGTTAATCTTGCTCTAAATTTAGTTTACCTTGAAATATTACCTAATAAGAGTGGTAAACCTTCTACAAATATTTTACATTGAATTTTTATCCTCTCATTTTTCTATTTGGAAGTATCTTTTATCATTTTGATCAACAGGACTGTGCAATAAGAAAAGTATGGAAAATATTGGCATCATCATTGGACAACCTTTGATAGGCTTTCAACAGTGCAGTAGCATGGCCATATTTTCACTTTGAAAGCTAAGAATGGAATAAAATATAGGCAAAAAGCTGAGTTCAGAGGATGCTGCAGTAACTCAGCCAGGAGTTAATTAGGACCTGAAATAAGGAAGTAGGAGTAAGAAGAGGCTGTTTTGTGAGCACTTTGGACCATGGAATTAAGAAATGTGATTGATGGACCTGAGGCAAGTGCAATGCTGAGACTAAGGTGGAATCAAGGAGAACTGCCAATTCCCTAGGTTTGGTGAAAGAGTGTGGTGTACATCCCAATGTACCTTAGGGGAGATGTGAAAAACTCCCCTAACTCCTTCATAAAGAGCTCAGATCACATTGTTTTTAAATTGAGGTGTAATTGACATGTAACATCATATTAATTTCAGGTGTACAACATAATGATTTGATATTTGTATATATTGCAAAATGATCACCACAATAAGTCTAGTTAACATCCATACAAGTTACAATTTTTTTTCTTGTAATGATAACCTTTAAGATCAGAATGCATTCTATACATTGCTAATCATATTGTTTCATATGGAGCTATTAAGTGTAATTATAAAGAGATAATCTCTGACTTACAAATCAGTTTAGTTTAATATACATCTGTTGACTATCTAGTGAATATCTGTTCATCAGCTCAGTATTGAAATTTGAGAAACATGTTCCACTTGGGGTTGTATCATTAACTGATGATGGATATGCATATTGCAACACTATTTATTATAGATTTATTGTATATATGTCCACATTTTTCACTCATCATTCCTTTATTAGACTATTATATAATAAAGAACAAATATGAAAAAAGACTGTTTTGGGCTTCCCTGGTGGCACAGTCGTAAAGAATCCGCCTGCCAATGCACGGGAGACAGGTTTGAGCCCTGGCCTGGGAAGATCCCACATGCCACGGAGCAACTAAGCCCATGCACCACAACTACTGAGCCTGTGCTCTAGAGCCCGTGAGCAACAACTACTGAGCCCACGTGCCACAACTACAGAAGCCCACGTGCCTAGAGCCTGTGCTCCACAACAAGACAAGTCACTGCAATGAGAAGCCTGTGCACCACAACAAAGAGTAGCCCCCGCTCACCACAACTGGAGAAAGCCCACACGCAGCAACAAAGACCCAACGCAGCCAAAAATAAATAAATAAATAAATAATTTTTTTTAAAAAAAAAAAAGACTGTTTTAACCAGAAACCTATAGTCACAAAAATGTCTATACAATATATTTACTGTTTTCCTTGCATTTTGCCATGCTGCCATTCTCCTTTTGCAAGCACTTTTGTCTGTCTTTTCTCACAGCCTCTGAGTGGAAAAAGCTACAATTATTAATGATACAACAATAAGTGAGTCTGAAATGCAGAATGAACTTAAGCCAAAACAAGTGAAAGATTACTCTATTACTGCCAGTGAAAATCACAGCCTAAAAATGTATAACTACTGGGCTTCCCTAGTGGCGCAGTGGTTGAGAGTCCGCCTGCCGATGCAGGGGACGCGGCTTCGTGCCCCGGTCCGGAAAGATCCCACATGCCGTGGAGTGGCTGGGCCTGTGAGCCATGGCCGCTGAGCCTGCGCGTTCGGAGCCTGTGCTCCGCAACGGGAGAGGTCACAACAGTGAGAGGTCCGCGTACCGCAAAAAAAAAAAAAAAAATATATATATATATATATATATATATAGCTACTAAACTGAGAAAAACAGACAGAACAGAATAAGAAGGGAAATGGGGCAAAGGAAAAGGAGGTGGCATATGCCACAGAGAAAAAAGACATGGGTCTCTAGTCTTCCTGAACTCTGACAATGACCTTGTTAAAGCTATCACATTTCTTGTCTGAAATTACATAATAACCTGATTGGTGAAAGTAAGTTATTATGTGTGTTTCATATTAACACAAAAAGAAAAAAGATTTATTTTTGAGGAACACCTGGAGCATATCCTTTGGACACTTGTGGATAAGAGACACCTACTCTGCAACTATTTAACAAAGAGAAGAACACTAAGAAAGTTTCTTCTTTCCTTTTTGGCTCCTAATCATTTCAGAAATTCCTGACATAAGTAATTAGGCAAAAATAAAATGCAAAAGGAATTCCTACTGGCATTTGGCAATATAAATATTATGTGTACAGGGATGATGTTTTGTTAACATCCTGCAATCCCTTTTCCAATTTCCTCCATTCTTTTATATAGTAAAGTTTTAGTTATGCCTCCAGATACAGAATAAATTAGGCAAAAAAGTTTAAAGCCCTGTGTTCCTAATTACTCTTCTTTTAAAATATCCTTAAAGTCCATTTAATTGGTTCCTTCAGGAGTTTAAATAGAATGGCACTAACGAATTTACATGTAACAAAATGTTTGAGGTAAGACTCAAATAGTGAAATTATGCCCTATTTGGTCTTACTTGGATTTTTACTTACTTACATTTTCCAATCTATAGGAGCAAGTATTTAATTTTCCAATTCTTTCTTGATTCATATTCCCTAAGACCAAGAAAAAGGGGGGAGGGGCAACTCTCAGAGAGATTATTCTACCAGCTATGTGACAACAGTAACTTTGTAAGTTCTTCTTAAATTCTTTTCTGATTTTCAGTTTTCTTTAAACATAATGTCATCCTTATCCACATTTTTATTATGTATTATAGCCAACTGAAACATCACTTTTAAAAGATTTACCGAACGCATAAACAAAATGTGATACACACACAGGAATATCATTCAGCCTTGAAAAGGAAGGAAATTCAACATGGATGAACCCTGAGGACATGACCTAGCAGCTGAGGACACACTGAGTGGAATAAACCAGGCACAGAAATACAAATATTATACGATTCTACTTACATGAAGTACTTGAGGCAGTCAAATTTACAGCAACAGCAGCTTGCGGACACTCAGAGGGACGGCATCTTCCCCAGGGCGCTGGCGGGTTCAGGTTCCGAACGCTGTCGGCCAGGCAGCCTCCGTCTGTGCGGATTCAGCCACAACATGGCAACTGTCTTTATAAGGAATATGGTAGTTTCTGCACATGAAACCTCCGCTAAGTCAGAGTTGTTGCACGAGGAAACCTCACACACGCTCCACACTCCTGCCGGGAGCCCCTTTGTGCTGTGGTCCCCGCCCCCCCGCACTGGTTACAAATCCCAGCACAGCCAGGCGTCGCTTCTCTCCAACCTCCTGCTGCTGCGCGCACAGCCGGCGCAGGCATTTAAAACCAGGCACGTCATCAAGAGGCGCCGCAAGGACGGTTCACCCAGTGAAGAGGCGTGGAAGTAGGTTCAGCTGTTACAAAACGAACCCAAAGCACAAGCAGGCAGATGTAGTGCATTTGGCTGTGAAATAATGTGTTAAATTGTATAATTTCCTTGGGAAATGGTGTTACCCTAATGAAAGAAAACTAAGATTTAAACTTTCTGTTGTATTTTTAAAAAAAAAAGAATCATAGGAGCAGAAAGTAGGACGGTCGCTGCCAGGGGCTAGGGGAAGAGGCGAATGGGGAATTGCTAAATGAGTACAGAGTTTCAGTTTTTCAAGGTGAAGAGTTCTGAAGATGGATGTTGTTGATTGGTAGCACAACAATGTGAATGTAATTGAAGCCACTGCACTGTACACTTAAAAATGGTTATGATGGTGAATTTTACGTCATTTAAATTTTATCATAATTAGAAATAATTTTAAAAAGATTTATATAAGTTTTCTTGATCTTACTCCAATTGTGTTGTCCATTCATCATTTTAAAAATGCATGGAAGTAAACAAGAATACTACATTCTAAGTGATCCAAATGATGCACAATTGTTAGAGCAAAACAATAAATTCCTCCTTGACTTAACTGCTCCCTTCCCCAAGGTCACAGGTGATGGGTATTCTAGTTTCTGTCTATGGGATAGGTATAAATCTATAAATAAAATGTATATATTTGACATATACATATTACATATGTATATGTGGATATCTTTTAACCTAAATGGAGTCATGTCATGTACATAGTTCTCAGACTTGCTTTTTTTATTTAATACATCTTAGAGATGTTTCCAACTCAGTGCATACGGCTTTTCCTCATTCTTTCTAACAGCTGCACAGCATTCCATTGTATGGATTTACTATCATTTATTTAACCATTTCTCTACTGATGAGACACTGAAGTTGTTTCTTCTTTCATTTTCAAATGTCTGACCTTGGTAAAGGTCCACTGTGCTGAACAATGTACTAAAATCTTTGCATGGAAGTATGCCCAGCACCTACCATAGTCCCTCGAATGTACATGAGTTAAATAACATCTTAGATTTAGATTCCTTGAGGTGATGGGCTTGACTTCTATTGGTACTATACTAAAAGATAGTAAAGAAAAATATATATACATCATACATACCAAATATGCACATGTGAATTATTATAACAAATGAGAGTACAATTTTTAAGAAACTAAACAAATGTGGAATCCAGAGGACTTGTTTTGGCATTGTAAAACTGTCCAAGAATCATTTTTTCCCATGCAAAATATTTATTGCAAATCCAAGACTTGCTATAGCAAAGATAAGGAACTTGAATATCTTCTTTCCCTCTCCCAATTTCCTGCTTTAAAACCACAGAGAATATTCCAAAACACGTTTTCATCTTCCTAAAAGGAGGATAAAATGGAAGGTAATGAAACCCAGATAAAACTAAAATTCTTTTGGCAAAAGCAGTCTGTAAAGACTATTGATCTATTAGTTACAAAGGAACTTGAACTTACAAACCAAGACAAGAAAGTTGAATATTATTAGTACATTACTTATAAATGCTACAATTCTTCCAATGCTTTCCCCAGGTATATGATCTTATTGAATCCTCTCAACTCTATGAGGTAGATATTATTACCTCCATTTCACAGGTGAGGATACTGTAATTTGAAGTGGTTAAGTATTTCTTGAAGGTCAGTTGGTTTGGAAGAGCAGAAGCATTACTTAAGCCCAAGTCTGTTAGGCTTTCAAGAGCAGTAAGCTCAGACCTTATTGCTCTCAGCTGCAACAGCTTTACAATCACTAGGGAATTCTTTTTCAAAGCTTTTGGCCATGAGATCTTGAACCACCCGGTTTTGGTTGGTTTGTTTTACTAAATTCTTTTGAAAAAAATACACAAGAGAAAACAAAAGATTACAGAAAAAGGTATCTCCTGATCCTCCCATTCCCCTCCCCCAAAAAAGGAAGGAAAAAAATCAGCTACAAAAACTTCTCCCTGCAATGACTGAAGATGATCTGAGCCCCAGGTGCCATTTGTGATGGTCATTTCTGCTATCTTCCAACTCCTCTGAGCTCCAGCCCATGCTCTACTCAAGATACACTGTCTCCCCTGGCAAATATACATCGTGAATCACTGACTGCTATGACAGTGCCCTTCCCCAACAGCTTCCTTCCCTGCTCCTCAAGAATTGAACTTGATAGAGAACACCTGGGGTTAAGAAGGCCAGTTTTTTTTTTTAAAAAAAGGCCAGTTAACTGCTTAGGGATTTTGTTCATGTGCACAAGTGGCACAGGCTCAAGTAACCCTTATATTATGTTAAAATTCATGCCTGAAACAATGTTAACCCTATTTGTAGTTTCATAATATAAATTAAGACAAAATCTGATGCTAGGACATTTGTAATTTGGTGGGGGGGTGGTTTGGGGGCTTTTTTTTGTTTTTTTTTTTTTAGCTTAACTAGGAAGAAGTGTGATTTTTATCAATAAGTATTTTGGCTCTCTTATCTCATAACCTATACCAGTAATGTTGTAAGAATCAGCAAGTAAAAAAAAAAGAAAACGGAAATAGAAAAAATGAATGAATGAAAGAATACACAATGAACAAATAAATAGCCAAAGATATGTAACAAATCTATAATTTAAGTCTGTTTCTCACTCACAAGAAACTCTGTTCATTGTTATGTTTATATAATTCAAAAAAGTAAGAAAAACTAAAAGTAATAGAGGTAAAAAAATAGAAAAGCATAGTAACCTGAAGCTCTTCAGTATAAAACAACCCAAATGAGATAATCATTGGTAATATTAGTGTGTCACATTATGGCTCATTAGCTATTATTTATAACAATAGAACTGAGACAGTGAGAAAATGTTTAAATAATACCAAATACCTTTTCTTTGAAAAAAACTAAGGAAATGTGTAACACATTTTAAAAAGATTCCTTGAAAAAAAATAAAGTTTTAGCACTTTAACATAGATATGCTATCTGGAAAAATGACTTACATGGACTGTTTCATGCCACACATACCTAAAATATTAGGTGTTTATTGCTACTGTATGGAACATTTTGTTTTTTTAATGGATCACTTGGTCTTTCCTTGAGACTCTGGATGATAATGACTCCTGGCTTTTAACATCTAAAGAAATCATCAGCTTTTCTCTTTTGGAAATCCAACACTGAAATCAAAGACATCCATCCCTCTCTTCTCATTCCAGCCTGGTACCAACAAAGTTAGTATTCAGGGAGACTATAAAAGTACTTTTCTACATATACCATTGGCTGCCACCTCTAGCACTTCTTTTTCCATCTAATTTCCTCAGCCTCTGAAATAAATTTAAAAAGAATTGAAACAAATATGATGAAGGCATTCCAAGATAGAGATTATAAAACAAAAATTCTTGACATTCAGTTAAGGAGATAGTCTGTTCATCATCGGTCAATACTCAGAGAAGGTAATATAATTTACTACGGTAAATTTGACCTCAACTCCATCAAAGTTTGATTTGAGACCAATGGGTCAGATGTAGAATTATAATTCAGATATACTGTCTTTATGAAGATTAAAAAGAAACAATCTCTTTAGAATCATATAAGGCTAGTTGGGGATAGTTCTCAATACAAGTGATCTTTTTATTGTAACACTTTGATGCCCAGAGCCAAGAGAGTGTGATATGGAAGCAAAACAGGACTGGGAAAGGAAGCAGATCTTCAGCCACAGTCATTTTGAGGCAAGACTTCCTTACTGTAAATCTTGTCATGTAACTTACCACTCAATAGGGGTAAGTCAGTAACGGCAGCACCGAAGAACAAAAACTCTGACACCAAAACACAGTATAACATAACTGTTATTATACTGTTATTATACTGTTATTCATCTTAGAAATAAAGGCTTTCTGTCTAGAAATTGCCCTACTGGCTATATAGACAGCCATTCAATTGTATGTTCTTTACAGGAAGAATTCTCATTGCTCAAGTCAGAGACCAGGAGTCTTCCTTGACTCTCCTTCATTGGCACCCCTTCAACCAATAAAACAAATAAATAAATAACAAGTCTACGGCCATTGTCACATTATTAGTCCTAACCAACTCATCTCTCGCTTAAATTTCTGCAGCAGCATCGTAGCTGGCCTCCCTGCACACAGTTCCACTGACCGTACCTCCAGGGCATTAAGAATATTTCCACTCTTATCTACTCCTTTCTGCAGATAAAGTGACTTTTTAAAATGCAAATTTAATCACATAATACTTCTGATTAAAACCCTTCAATAGATTCCAATCACCCTCAGATGAAGCCCAAATTCCTTAATACAAACCAACAAGACGCTCCTCAACCAAACCTCTTCACACCTTTTAAGCCCCATTTTGTGCCGCGGAGGTTTATTAGGGATCTACACCTATGAGACAAAGGGGGCAGAATTAAGATTGGGCAGAGTGAAAAGCTGAACCTTGACACAACACGGTCTAACAAAGCTTCAGTCAATCTGGGTGGAGGGGTGAGGGGTTGGGGGACCACGTGGAGCAACTCTTGCTGATTAGCACCATCCTTCATCAAACTAAAGTGGAAAAAACTTTTATGGACTCACCTCTACCGGTCATTGGATGCAAGTGTTTCCAGGAAGGGAATGATCTTGAGTGAAACAACTCTACAGCTGAGGCAGACCCTGGTCTCTGGCACAACCCCTCAAAACAAGTCAATTAGACATAGGCAAATGTTCTTGGCATTGCAAAGCGATTGGTCCAAAGACCAAGAAGAAAATTATATCTCAACTGAGATTTTGGAATAAAAAAACTCAAACTACTCCAAAAGGAAGAAGACCAACAGTGTACTCCAAAAGTAGGTGTTATCCCAAATTCTAGGTCTCAGTCTAGGTTCCTAGGTGAAAACAAGGGACCTCAACTTAGGAGCTACCCTCTGTCAAGAGCAGTCATAGAGTAAATCTAGACCCCCAACCAAATATTAAACCCAGACCCTGAGGAATGTTTCTTTTCCTCTAAGTGTAGAAAGAGAAAAAGGAAAAGGAAAAAAAAAAAAATCAGCTAACTAAATCCTGAAATTCCAACAGAATAAGCATTGAAACATTTGGTCAGCTACCCACCTCTTTAAAAACTCCAAAAATTCTTAAGAAATCTGGCTATGTCTGTCATGGGAAACATGGAACTATGATGCTTGCAAACCTTCCTGGATTTAATCATAAAGTACCTCAGACCTCTTACATGACTCATCCATCCTAATGATGAGGATGAAGATCAAAGCATGTCTCTTGGTGGATTAGCTTACACTCTCGGAGTGAACTACAACAGGCAAATCCAGAATTATTACCAAGGCATCCTGTTCATTCTTGGCGTAACAGTCACTCAACACCACCTGACGGTGAAAGATATTTTGTGATAAAGGGAGCCTTTCCCAAAGAGTGGGTGAGTTTTTGCCAGTGACTGGCAAAGTACAATTTATAGTTTATACCAAGTAAACAATAACTCATAAAAAGGCATTAAGTGAGAATCATTTAAGTACCTAAAGAGTCCAGCTCCACATGCAGTCAGTTAGTGGCATAAACCATTAAACCCTTGAGGAATGTGCCGTTGGAACCCTCATAAGTCAAGTCACTGTTTCAGGGCTATAGCTACCTCAGAGGCAACCTCTTCCATAATAGGATTCATGGAAAATTTGTCTTATACCAATACATTTAAATACTAATCCAATATATGTTCAATATGGTTAAAATCAAATTTTAGACTATTGTTCCTGTGAAATATAATGTGGCTGTAAAATTCCTTTTCATTATAATTGCCTATTTGATTCACTTCTTTCCTCATAGCTAATCAACATCAGACCTAAGTCCTGGATTCTAAAACTTACTCATTTTACAGGAGTTGTTCGCTGATTCTATATAGCAATGAAGAGTATTTTCAAATACCAAAGGCCTTTTTTTCTTGGAGATAAGAAGAGGTTTATGGAAACATTCATTCTGGCCAAAAACTTAAAGTTACTTCTCCAATAGTCTTCGCTAAAAAAAGTTTTCTTTTTTAGAAGAAAAAATATATTAAAACTAATGTCAAAACTGGGGTTTTAATAAAATTTTACCAAATTAAAAAATCTCTAAAGTAAAATACTAGGGTTCTTTGATAAGGAAATAATCAAACAGATTGTCCTTCCTAGCTTATCTGCCTGTCATCATAAATATTACTTTGTTGCAGCATCACAAAGCACATCTACTACCTGGAGGAAACAAGATAACAGTCCATGATTGTTAACCCCAACAATTGTTTACCATGGATATTCCCTTTTCAAATTTGCAACTTGCATTTGAAATGCTCAGCTCTTATGAGTTTTACTAGCATAAGAAAGCAAACAGGGAGACTTCCCTGGTGGTCCAGTGGTTAAGAATCCACCCTCCAATGCAGGGGGTGCATTTCTATCCCTGGTGGGGAACTAAGATCCCACATGCCAAGGGGCAACTGAGCCCGCCTGCCACAACTACTGAACCCACACGCCTCAACTAAAGAGGCTGTGTACAGCAAACTGCAGAGCCCATGCACTCTGGAGCCCACGCACTGCAACTAGAGAGAAGTCCACACTGCAATTAAAACCCGATGCAGCCAAAAATAAAATAAAATAAATAAACAAATAAATTTTAAAAAGAAATAAACTAGATTCCTTAAAAAAAAGAATGCAAACAAGAAGTATTAAAAATAAAATTAGAAATTATCAGGTTATGAGTCTAAATATTTGACAGTATGCTTTTGGCCACAAGTAACAGAAACCCTAAGGAATTTTAAACACAAAGAAAACTTATTATCTTACATAATAGAAACTCATAGAAAGTTCAGGTTTCAGGGCAAGTTACTTAAGTACTCTAACAATGTCATCCAAACACAGGTTCTTACAATCTCTCCTTTTTCCCCTCCCTGCTTTGAGCTGATTCACAGGCTAATTAGATAGATGGCTGAAGCAGGACCAAATGCCTAATTCAGACAATAAAAAGAAATATACCGTCCTTTGATGTGGATATCTCTTAGGATTGAGGTCGTTTTCCAGAAAATGTACTGGCTGATTTCATTTCACAGTTCATTGGCTAGGATTGGGTCACATTTCCATTCTTGGACCCATGACTAGCAAGGATAATCAGCTTACCTTTAGGCAAACTAGTTACATATACTACTGTAGCTGGGACAGGGTCACCCACCTTCTCTTGGGGGCACATGGCTGCATATGGGAGCACTGTATACCTGAATAAGTTCAGGTTTTATTAGGAAGAAGGGAAAAAGTGAACCATGGGCAGACAACCAAAAGTGTTGTCTTTACAGTAACTGCATTAGAATTATAAAGGCTAAAGGTTAAGGGTAAAAGTGGGTAAAGCATTGCTCAGAGGGTAAGGATTTGAGATTGAAAATCTAAATCAAGTTAAGCTGATGTTTCTTTTTCTAGAATAAGGGTTAGAGATAACAACAAAACACCCTATAAATAGAGATTAAATTTAAGGTAATACATCTTTCAAGGATAAATATCTATCAGTATTGAAAAGTAAACCATTATGAAAATTCCAGTACAAATGCTACAGTTTATAAATGAGGAAACCAAAGCTTAAGAGAGTTTAAATTGTTCATAATCACGTAAGAAATCAGTGATGGGCAGAAACGCTGAAATTCATGGTATTCTTCCTGAATTCAATTCAATTTTGCCCTAACATTATGTTTTTCATTGGATGTAATTTCAGGAATAAAGATAGGTGTGTTATAATTTTTTAATACAAAAATCATTATTCCAAATTGTACAAAATGCTCTTATGTCAGCTCTAGTAATGGAAGTAAAGCACCTTTTCTCTTTTAGCATCCTGTATTATTGGAGATTAAGTTATTAGCATTAATATTGATACCAATAATTGAGCATCTACTATGTGTCAGGCATTTTACCAGGTGCTTTATAGTCATTATTTCTAATCATCCCAACACCCCAAAAGGGAACTCTTAATATCCTCTTTTGAAGATGAACAGAGGCTCACGGGCTTTAAGTTACTTGACCAAGATCAAATTGCTTCCAGGGTAAGGATTTTTTTGTTTTTGTTAATTTATTTATTTTTGGCTACGTTGTATCTTTGTTGCTGTGCACGGGCTTTCTCTAGTCGTGGCGAGCGGGGTTACTCTTTGCTGCGGTCCGTGGGCTTCTCATTGCGGTGCCTTCTCTTGTTGCGGAGCACGGGCTCTAGGCGCACGGACTTCAGTAGTTGTGGCACACAAGCTTAGTTGCTCCGTGGCATGTGGGATCTTCTTGGACCAGGGCTCGAATCTGTGCCCCCTGCATTGGCAGGCAGATTCTTAACCACTGTACCACCAGGGAATCCCCCAGGGTAAGGATTTAAACCTAGGTTTGTTTCGCTTTAAAGCTCATTCAACCTACTAACATTCACCAAAAGATGTTTTGTTAAATTCTTGTCCTTCTAGATGATCCATTAAAAAAAAAAAAAGGATCCCAGGTCAAATATATTTGGGAAATACTGTACTCTATATCCCTCTCATGGAGATTAAAGATACACAACGTAATATTTAAAAGTATGAGAAAAACTACAGAAATTTATCCAACTCAGTTTAACCATTGTTTCCTACCATTTGAAGACTAAATATTTTTTTCACTAGCAAACATTAATATTCAGGGAAGTAATGTCCAGTGGCCCCCTTCTTGGGAAATACTGCACTACATTATTTGACATTCAAAATACATAACGCATGTTAACAATCAAATTATATTTGAACGATAGTATTAATATGTAATTATACTAAACATATGTAACCACTTTAGGAGTCTTACTATGAAATGATTTTATTTTTCCAATTACTGCTCTCAAATGTCAAATCTTGCTTTCCCACTGAGTAGCAGATCCCTTCACAACATCTTGATCAAATTACCTTTCTCAGTTATGGTTATTTTTCACATTTAAAACTTAATATTAAAAAACAGTAGAGAAAATCAGTGAAACAAATAGCTGATTTGTTGAGATCAATAAAACTAATAAACTTCTAGCCAGACTGATTAGCAAAAAAAGTTAACAGAAGCCACAAATTACCACTCTCAGGAATGGGAGAGGTCAACTAGAACATGTTCATGTAAGTAAAAGTATAACAGGGGAATATTATGAACAACTTTATGCCAATAAATTTAACATCTTAAATGGCATGGACGAATTCCTGGAAAGATACTGCAAAAGCTCACCCAAGAAGATAGATAATCTAAACAGCTCTGTTTTAATGAAATTGAATTTGTAGTCAAAAACTTTCCCACAAAGAAAACTCCAGGCCAGATGGCTTCAATGGTGAGTTCTAACAAATATTTAAGAAATAAAAAATATCAATTCTACACAAACATTTCCAGAAAATTGAATAGAAGAACTATTTACCAATTCATTCTATGAAGCCGGCATTACCCTGACACCAAAACTAAACAAATATATCACAATAAAACTAAAGAACAGTATTTCTCATTTTCACAGATGCAAAAATTCTAAACAAAATTTTAGAAGATTGAGTCTAAAAATACATAAAAATTATAATACATCACAACCAAAAGGGATTTATCTCAGGAATGTAAGGAAAAATGTAATTTTTCTCAAAAAGCAATCAAAATACTTCAACATATTGAGATTAAAAAATTAAAAACTCTTGATCATCTAAATAAGTGCAGAAAAAGCATTTGACAAAATCCAACATGCATTCCTGATTTTAAAAAAAAATATATAAACTCTCAGCAAACAAGAAACAGGAGGGAACTTTCTCAACCTGATAAAGATCACCTATGACAAATCCTTTGGCTAATAGCACATGTATGGTAAAACTGACATTTTTCTAGTAAGATAAAGAATAAAATAAGGATGTCACCTCTCATCACTTCCATTCATCATCACACTGGAGGTTTTGGCACTTGACTGCAATACAGCATGAAAAAGAAATATACAGCATTCAGACTGGAAAGTAAAAAGTAAAACTGTCTTAATTCACAGATGAAATAATTGTCTATGTAGAAAATTTGATGAAATATATGAAATAGCTACTAGAACTAGTAAGTGAGTTTAGCAAGGATAAAAGGTCAATATCCAAAAATCAATTTTACTTTTACATGATAGAAACTACCATAAATTAAAATTTTTGAAGTTACCTATAATAACATCATAAAGATGAAATATTTAGGGATAGATTTGAAAAAGATGTAAAGAACCTATACACTGAACACTACAAAATTTGCTGGGGAAAATTAAAGAAAGTCCAAAAATATGGAGAAATATATTGTGCACATGGATTGGAAGACTCAGTAATGTCAAAATGTCAATTCTCCCTAAATTGATATATAAAGTCAATGCAATCCCAGTCAAAATCCCAGCAGGCTTTTTTGTAGGAAGTTACAAGCTGAAAGGAAATGCAAAGGATAAAGAAGAGCCAAAACACCTTTGAAAAATGAAGGGTAAAGTCAGAGAATTTATGCTACCTGACTTCAAACCTTATTGTAAAGCTACAATAATTAAAACAATGTGGTATTGGTTTAAATATAGACAAATAGATCAATGATCACATACACATATAGACAACTGATATTTGCAAAATGTCCAAAGATACTGTAGAGGAGAAATGATAGTCTGGCAACAAATTATACTGGAACGATTAGAAATCCACATGCAAAAAAAAAAAAAGAACTTTGGCCTATACTTCCTGCTATGTACAAAAATTGACTTAAATGAATTACATACTTAAGTTAAAAAGCTAAATCTAGAAGAAAATACAGGAAGAATTATTTGTGATCTTGGATTAGGTCAAGATCTCTTAATTACAACAAAAAAGCATGATTCATAAAAAGAAAAAATGCATTTTATTAAAATTAAAACTTCTATTTTCAAAAGACACTGTTAAAAGAATAAAAAGACAAGCCGCAGACTTGGGGGAAATAGTTGTAAATCATATCTTTGACAAAAGGCTTATATATAGAATATAAAATTTCAAAACTTAATAATAAAAAAATGGCAAATATTTGAACACTTCACCAAAGACATATAAATGGTAAACAAATACATGAAAAGATGCCCAAACTTATTAGTCACTAAGGAAATGCAAATTAAAATCACAATGAATATAACAACATGCTTTCAGAAAGACTATAATTAAAAAGATGAACAATACCAAGTGTTGGCAAGGTCATGGAGGAATAGAATTCTTATGCAATGCTGGTGAGAATATTTAATGATATAACCATGTTGGAAAGCAGTCTAGCCATTTCTGAGTTAGTTAATCATACATCTACCATATCAACCCTCTATTTCACTGTTCAGTATTTCTCATGAGAAATGAAAGCATATCTATAAAAAGATTTGTACAAAAATATTCATAGCAGTTTTATTTGTAATAGCTAAAATCTGAAAACAGTACAACTGTCTATCAGCAGGTGAATGGATAAGCAAATTATGGAACATTCAAACAATGGAATACTACTCAGCAACAAAAAGGAATGAACTATTGTCACAACAAAATGGATGAATCTCAAAACAAGTATGCTGGATGAAAGAAGACAGGCAAAAAAGAGTTTTACAAAGGGACATGAGAAA